GGGCCAGCCACTGCAGCCCTGCACACAACAGCATCCCTGTGCCAGTCACAGCCCCACTGCAGTGGAGCTTTAGGCTTAGGGATGAAGGGAAATAACGTCTTGACTTGAAAATAGGGAGGAGGGGAGACCTAGAAGGCCAATTCTGCACTAATATTTAAAAAAAACAGGTCAAAAGACACTCCAGGAGGGATGAGAAGGCACCAGGCCAAGGAAACAGAAACCCTGCACCGCAAAGGGCAGTAACTGATGGAATGTCCCCAGGAAACATCCCTAACAGACAGGCTGTTTTCCGCAGCATGCATATTGCAGGCTGTGACAGCCCAAAACTGGCAATTGCCAGTGCCAGGAAGGTACAGGCATTGCAGGAACACTGATTAGACAGGGCACCCCGGAGACGGCACCGCTAGCCGAGTAAGGGCCCCCCCAAACACTGCCCACCAGTACACACAGACACTGCCCTGGTCCCCCCCTTTACACCCACAGACCAAGTCAGTCTCCAGAAAGGCTGCCCAGATGCATTTTCCAAATCCCAACTGTATTTTGCTTTCACACAGCCAAGTAAATACTTGAAAGGGCAGTGGAGCCCCCACACCATGCTCAGAGCCCCCCTGGCACCGCACCACATCCAGGCACAGCCCACGACCAGCCTGACTCCGAGTCATGGGGAACCCACCGGATTTCCAACAAGAAGGGAGGTTGGCTGCATTAAGTGCTTGGCAAGTAAAAGGCTTGAAATGCAATTTTAACTGCCCGTTTCCACCCCTCCCCTCCCACACATGAACCCTCCGTGGTAGAGCCAGGGATGGCACCTTGAGCCAGCAGTTACACCAGCAACAAGCAAGAGCTGCCTCAGCCAAAGCTGCACCCAAATCCTCTTTGCTCACCCACCTCCTCTGGGGCCGGCTCCGCACCCCAGAGCGACGGCAGGGTCGGTCGGCGACAGCTACAAAATAAACACGTGCTCTGGAGCAGTTCCTTGGCAAGATACTCCTGTTGCAGTGACAACGAGAGCTGCTCCTGCTCAGAAAGATAGGGAATTTGGGAATTCGCTCCAGTAGATCCCCAGGGGACAAGGCTCAGAGAAAAGTTGGTGTTTTGATGTGGCACCACAGGCTATAGACAAACGTAGCTGAAATTCCCCATGCAAAGCCTCACACCCAGCTCTAAACCTTCGTGTGCTCACACGTGGACTCATGTCCTGCTTGGGGCTTGGGATGTGACTGCATTGCCTCCCAGCACTGGCTGGTCTGGTCACAGCATCCCTCCCACCACAGTCCCAGTTTCGCCAGGCAGCTGCCAGCCAACCCTTGCAGAAGTGGGGATCCCTGGGGGAAAAAAAAACACTAGTGGAAATGGGCTATTTAGGGGTTAGTGGTGAATAAGCAAGCAAAGCAGGCAGGCTGGCATGGCCTCGGCATCTCAGGCAGGATGTGCAGGGCAGCTCTGGTCCGACCTGCCCAGGGAGAGGGCAGGTCTTCCAGATGACCACGACAAGACACAGAAGTTGGGCATCTTGTCCTTCAGCGCAGCAGCCTGCGTCACACCGCTGCCTCGGTTGCAAAGGTGACGCGTTAAGGGTTGATGCTTGGGGCACACAGCTCCCAAGGACATGTTTATAGCATCTTGCTCTGATGACAGTATCCACCAGCACCACGAGGCTCTACCAGGAGGCAGCCCAAACCAGCGCATCCGGTGACTCGAGCTGCGATGCTTATCAGGACCAGGCTGCTGCTAAGGGAAGGGGGCAGAGAGCTTGCACTGCCCAGCTTGCACGGAGTCCGAGTCAGTGGCAAGGCATAACCTGATGATGCTGAACAAGTAATTCAGCTTTCTACTGCATTATGTCCTCTACTCACTGGACAAAGCAGAACCAGGTTTGGTGAAGCATGAAAGAACGAGAGACGCAAATCAGCATCCAAGCCCCGCTCAATTGAAGGAAGAGGGAGGTTTGTCGGGCGCAGTGAAAGCACCGTTTGTTCTCCACTCCCTTGGCGGGCAGACGGAGCAGGGCCTGGCCGCAGCCACATGACACAGCTCGCTGGGTCGGACTCGCACGGAGCGGCAGTGGGAATCCTGAACAGACTGTCACAGCAGCCACCATCCCAGGGGAGCGCGAGCACAAACAACACCAGCTTTGTTTAAGGCAGCAGTCGCCTTTTCACATATTAACCCCTTTACTCAGATGTTTAAGGAGATACCTGCCCACGGAGGAGCTGTGCCATCAACATGCCACACACCTAACAACAACAACCCTCTACAACCATACCGACCCCAGCCCAGGGGTGAGAGCCTCTTCTCCTGCCCCTAAAATAACCCACCATCATTAGATAAGCTTCACAAACACCACATTTATCCAGAACACACAATTCATTTGGGTCAGAAAATTGGATTTAAAACACATTATTGTAAACACTTTGCTCCTCATACCCACATGGTGCTTAAATGAGCTTCGTGGGGCGACCATGGCCAAGGCTGGGTCCTGGAGCGCATTTGGGAATCACCATACAGAACTCAAACCTCACTCCTCAGTTTACTTTGCTTTTGATGAGCAAATGGGCCATTTTTAAATTTACTAAGCCTGACATGGCTGACCCTACAGAGCTCAGGGCCCCTGCACCTGAGAGGCAGCATTTCCCAGAGCTGCAGTCACCAGCAGCAGAGGAAGGAGATGCTGAGCATCCCCACCCCTGCCCTCTGCCCGGGGAGGAACGCACACACGCACGCTCACCACACGCTTGGCCTGAACCGGGGTTCAGCCGGAAAGCAGCTCTCCATGTTGTGAGATATTGCTAATCTAATCACACAGGATGATCTCAAAAATTACATTGGCCTTCTGCCTTTTTTCCATCTGAGCACGAAGCACTTTGGATCACATACGCGCAGCGATAACAGCCTGGCTGCATCGGGACAAGGACAGGAGAGGGATTTTAGCTGCTGTCAGTGGTGGGGAAGATGCCCCTTTTCCTACAAATTTCCAGCAGATCCTCATTGCCCACACAGAAAATGAGTAAAATTTGAGAGTCCACTTCCCCAAATGACTGCTTTAAGATCATTCTGGTTAGTTTGTTAAAGGACAAGTCAACCTCCCTGAGATTTAAACACATGGAAACCAGGACATCAGATCGACAGCTCGCCATCAGCTGGAGCACAGGCACACGGCCGCACCCCGGGGCCAGCGCGCCCCTCGAGATGCTGCATCCCAACCTCCCTGCTCACAAGCAACAGGGAGAGCAAGTGCTCATCCAAGCCAGGAGCGGATGCAACAACTTCAAACAGGGAGGTAAAGTCCAATTATATATATAAGCGCTGAAGGCTTCCTGTAATCATTTCTCTGTTGGTATTTTCGGAGCACTTCTAATCAAGAAACAGCTGACTCTCTCACGGAAAATTAATTTCACCATGATGATATGTACTAGAAGAGGCAGCAGGGTAATTTGCAGCTCAGCAGTTGATTCAGAAGAGGTCTAAGCGTGATACACGCCAGCCACCAACACAGGAAGGGAACAGATCCGACACGTCTTGCTCCTGACCCCAACACGCTTCCGCCACCTGCAGAAAGGACCTTCTTGCAGCCCCCCCAGCACGGGGGATGGGATGATACCCCAAGCCCCATGCCGGGAGAGAGGGCTGCCAGGGCTGGGGTCAGGAAGAGGGGCCAGGCGGTTCGCAGCAGCGCAGCACGCTGCAGCAGTATCAGCACCCAGCACAGTGGCCAGGCTTTCCTGAGGAAGTAGAGGGGTCTTCCTCTGCTTTGAGACTTAGGGCTTTCTGTCACATTCAGCATTTTTCCTGGTTCATTAATCCGTCAGTGCTCCAGAAGTGCAGAGCGGCTGTTTGAGAGTTTGTCAGAGTCTCAATGCAACACACTGCCTTCTCCTGCTGGCACCCTGGGCTCCGGAGCAGCCGGACCCCGTCCCGGCAAGGGCAGCCACCACCAGCCCCTGCCCTTCCGAGGAACACAGACCTCAACCAACGCAGTCACAAATTGACATACGGCCAGGGAGGCTGCAGCTCAACAGACCGCTCTGCCATGCGTTGGGAACGGGTACAAAGCAGGATGCAGGAGATGCAATGGAGACTCCAGAAGAGGTGAAGGTCCTGTGGGCAGCAGGGACAGGGGCTCAGGTCACCCCCAGCACCCTGTCAGGGTCGGGAGTGTATTAGCAAATACCCACTGCAAACACATCCTGTGGGGCCCAGACACAGCAACCAGCAGTCATGTCTATGTTAAGCCTTTTGTTAAGCTCTCCCAGCAGATCCTCAGCATCAATTCAGCTCCATTAGCATTAGCAATACAAAGGGGTTTAATCAAACTAAGCCTACAAGGAACAGATA